CCACTATCCAGTCAGAGCTGAAGAAGCTTCTTGGATGAGAAGCAAACCGTCTTCAAAGAAAAACAAGAAAGTCAAGTTGCCTCGTGAAAAGCATCTTTGAGACCCACTACAATAGTGACTGGGACATTGGTGTAAGATAGAAGGAAGTGCAACAGGTGGATTGGCTTTCCAATTTGTGGCAGGAGGGAGGATACAGAATAAGAACCATTGGGTGGAAGTTACTTTCCCAGCAACAAGCTGAAGATGACATCTTCAGTTATATACAGTAAGTGTCTTGTTCTAGTCAGTTTTCAAAATATTCTGTCCTGTGGAGATGGGTATTTTCTCAGATAATTAACTTCTCAAGAAAGTTTTTCCATAGCTTCCCTCAGTGTTAAAATAAAGATGGAAAACTCCTTTGCATCTCTCTCTTGTGAATCCAGAAAGGCTGAATATATCTTTTTTCAAAAAATAACATATTTCCTGGGAGTAACTGGAAAGCTATAGCCTTACAATTTTCCATGGAGAACAATTATTACCAACTTCTTTAGACATAAACTTATGATCTACTTTCTTATCACACAAGCAAGGAGCTGCTGGAATTGTCTTGTGTAGCTAAATTCTATCGTATCTATTTCATTTTATTAATATCAAATACATCATGTACAACCAGCATTTCACATGTAAATGTAAAATACATTTAAACTTACTAGTTTACCCAGACAGGACGAAAATTCAAATTTAATTCTAAAATAGCTAGATACATTTTAATATTATCCAGTTAAGGGGAAATAGTGGAAAATAGTACCATAATGTAGCAATTTCAGCAGATAGTTCAGGATAAATTCTTGGATTAAGTTTCTGTTTTGTCTATTGTTATATGGTTTTTACTGTTGCTGTTAGCTACCCAAGTTGTGTGTCACACATGAGCAGTTTAGTGAATTGGTTAAAATAAATAATCTTGGAATTTTAGGAAAAATTCAGGAAGTCAGTGTGTGTCAAAATTACTTTTTGAATGACCATTAAATCCTGAGAGATTTATACTGTTATATTATGAATTAATTTACCCTAATTCCCCAATCATTTTGTAAGTCTGTTTCTTGATTTTTATTTGTGATTATAGAGTGGCTATATAAATATCCTGCATAAATTTGGGCTGTATAACTATAGTTGGTATCATGGGTACTATTGGGACAATAGATTTCAGAGATAGAATTATTGATTTTTTCAGGCTCCTTGAACACTACTTATTCAGTGTTTTTCTTTCCATCTTCAAATCACAAATTATACATCCACACAAAGTGCTAATGTTTCCACACTTTAATCAAGTACTTGTATTCTGCACTGTGTGCTCTGCACTGCAATAGCCTATTGTGACTCACTATTGCCATCTCAACACTCTGCAGACATTCCAAACAAGTCTAAAATAAAAGCTGCTACCTCAGACAGTTAAACAGGAAATGGAATGCCAAGCAAATTTTAGCATTAATAATATTACACTTGCTAATTGTTTGCCTTCAGTGCTGTTTTATTTTATGTTTTAACCTGCAGAGGCTAATAATTTGCACTTGAATGCTTGGGCCAAGAATATTTTTGCATCACTGACGGCAATGTTTTTTTTTTTTTAAAATCATGAGCATTCAGCTAATAGAGCTCCAGGAGGCTGACTAAAATGACAGATATTTAGCTGCTAAAGGACTACTGAAATAACTAGGGCTGTGCATACACATACATGTAGAGAGAACAACAGCAGCTTCTGAAGCAACCGAGAATTGCAAATTATGCGACTTCTTAAATGATTGGAGAAAAGGTGTTTTGTAAGTGCTACTTCCCATTGCAAAGCACCTCTTTTGAAAGCCTTGCGTAGCCCTAGAATAATGCAGATGACTGTGGATTAATTAGCTTGAATAATATTTCCTATATCTGTATTGTTATATATGTTAAGACTAAAACAAATACTATAAGGGAAACAGCTCCAGTCAAACAAATGCTGTTAATATAATCTTCTACCACTTGATAACCTCCAGATGTACTTATACTTCATAGAATTCTCAACAAGTTTATTCATTAACACATCCACAGTTCAGCTTTTGCATCCATTTTCATGTGAATCATGGTGTCTCTTCATACATTAACTGGGAGGAAAGGTTTCATAATCTGAATCATTGAAAACAAGTGGAAAAAGTGTGGATTCTTTTCGTGTGAACCAGAGGCCTGCTTCCTAATATGCAATGATTCATGATGGATGATTATGATCCATCAACCACAAACATAATTTGGAAGGAAAAGAAACCCCAAGCATGGGAACCACGTGAATAATCACGTAAGGCATTTCCATATAGAGCTTTTCTTCAACGTTGTGTTTATGGTAATTCTCATATAGTTATGCTGTCAGTGTAATCACATCTCTTGTTTATCACTTAAGATAAAGGGACAATATGTAAGTGGTAGTGCCACTGTGCAGTATATTTACAGGTATCATGATTAATATTGATGCTTTGTCATCTCTACAGTAGTCTTAAGGCAGTGGTTCTCAACCTTTTTATACGGTGACCCCTGGTCACACGGATGCGCCGCGCACGCACGGCGCGCATGCGCGGCGCCGGCCCCCATGCGCGGCGTGGCCCCAGCCCCCATGCGCAGTGCGGCACCGGCCCCCATGCGTGGCACCGGCCCCCATGCGCCGCACGCATGTGTGGCGCCACCCCCTGAGGGGGAAAATGGCGGATCGTGTTGTTTGGCGACCCCCGTAAAATGGTCGTTCGACCCCAAATGGGGTCGCGACCCATAGGTTGAGAACCGCTGTCTTAAGGGGTTTTAGCAGGCAAGGTTGTGGAATTGCTTCATGAAATCTTATTTTCCCAGTAAAAATATATTGTTCTGAAAAAAATAAAATGTGTATTAAAATCAGAATAAAAATGATCTTGTCTTTTATACTTTTTAAAAGGTAGTAGCAGGCTTAGAAAGGGGTATTTCAATAGCTAATAAGTTTGTATTTCTTGTGTTTTTAGTGCCCTGTTTTCCACGTTTATGTACTGTGGATAGGAGATGGTATTTATGATACGTAACAGGATATTTGGAGGAAATTCAGTTGCAAAATAGTGTACAGAAAACTGTGTTATTGATGCAGTAGAAGCAGAACAAATCATGCAATCAGTGAGTGATACTTGTCCACTTTCCATGTGAACATACTGTGATCCTGCAGAAAAAACATTCTGAATGTTTATAGTTTACTATTATGTGAAACCACTGTGTATGTGTATGCACAGCTCTAGTTATTTCAGTAGTCCTTTAGCAGCCAAATATCCGTCATTTTAGTCAGTCTCCTGGAGCTCTGTTAGCTGAATGCTCATGATTTAAAACAAATTAAAAAAAAAAACATTGCCGCCAATGATGCAAAAAAAAATCTGATATTACGATGCCACAAGATAGATTGCAATGCAGGAACCAAGCTATGTTGTGCAGGCTACACAGATCAGCAATTAGCACAAATCTATCAGTGTTGAAAAGAAAAGGAATATGGAGAAAACAATAACTGGAAATTAAAAAAAGAAAATAATAGGAGAAAGACAAGTCAGCCTAATATTTTGCTGGCTTGGTATAGTTATAAGCTATGCAAGTATTTGATTTATAATTTTGGATAATTACACTGGCGATCATCCACCAAATCTTGCTGGTACATAACTCCATTTTTTCAGTAGTCTGCAACCAATTATTGTGTGTTGGCCTATCAATGTCCTTTTCCCCCAAGTGTGTCCAATCTTCCTCCCTATATTATATTTTTTGCAACATTTTCACATATAGAGTTTAGACTTGCCCCCTTCTTTGAATACTACATGTTTGACTCTTAGAAAGCAAGCACACAGCTTCTCAATTCAAACACTGTAGTAGATGCTTTAAATCATCTGTACTTGCAGCAACTCCTGATCTGCAGAAATAACCTCAAAGGTGGAGCCGCAGTCTGTGGCTAATTCAAAGTGATAGCACCATCTACAGCACAGAGATGCTGTCTGCAATTATCATTTGAAAACAGCTGCAGTGATTCCTTAGCACTTGTTTCCATCCTTATTCAGCCCAGATGTTATGAAAGGCATGATGAAATAGATAATGTTTCCAAGTTTCAGTAGCTTAAAAAAAAGAGAAACATTTTTGCACTTGGCAAAAATACTTGATTTGAAGTAGGAAAAAAAACACGTATATCAGTGAAAGGGGAAATGGTTGCTTCTAAACAGCTAGGCACAGACAACCCTTATTTTATTTTCTAAAAGAAAGTCTACCTATTTATTTATTTATTTATTTATGAGACTTATATACCGCTTTAAGTGCAAGCACTCTCTAAGCGGTGTACACCAGTAAGCAATGTATATATATATTTACATTGCCCCCAACAATCTGGGTCCTCATTTTACCTACCCCGGAAGGATGGAAGGCTGAGTCAACCTTGAGCCCGTGAGATTTGAACCGCTGACCTGCTGAACACAGTCAGCTAAAGTGGCCTGCAGTACTGCACTCTAACTGCTACGCCTATGCTCTTTCCTTTGCATATTTCAGCACAGTTTGATAGCTCAGTTCTAATGAGTGCTGACATATTGTAGAAAACGGTAGTAGTTGGCTATTATAACAACAGATCTAAACAATCCCAGTCTGTGGGTTTGTAGGCATTTCAGGTGTATTCTTCCGGCTTTTCTAACTCCCACAGTCTAGCCGTACAGAGTGTTTCAGTTTGACACATAACTGACTAGAATCACAGTAGGCTGTTGAGCCTGTAGAGCAACTTCCTCCTTTAAGTGGGAAGACTGCTTAAAGGGATCTTAATGAATACCATTTTCTCTGAAAGAACTGGCATTGAACACTGTATAAAAGAGCACGTTTCATGAATAAATACTTTTGTCTGGTAATGATTGGCATTTATAAAATCCATTATGTGTGGTTGTATAGGAGCAGGGGAGAAAACAAAGGTCTTACATGCACCTATTAGAGAGTGTGACTATTGTTACTGATATTGTTACTATTTTTAACAGAGACTACTTGGGAGCGACCAAGCAGTGTTCCGGGAACTCCAAAGATTTCAGTGATCCAGAAGAACTCCTTGCCTACAGGTAGGAGACAGATCATCTATTCTACAAGTGCATGCAGGGGAGGGGATCATAAAAGCTCTTACCCTCTGCATTAAATGGGAAAATCCCTGTGATATATTTGCCTATCTTTAGAAAGAAAGTAATACTAGGAGAATGGACAGGATTTCTTTAGCAGAGATATAATTTACGAATAATAATAATCAAATCAGGTTCAGACTTCAGTGACTGAATGCACTATGTCAAGAACAGCCTGACTCCAGAAGCAGTAAATGCTCCAACACTGGAAGTTTTTAAGAAGAGACTGGACAGCCACTTGTCCGAAATGGTGTAGGGTTTCCTGCCCGAGCAGGGGGTTGGACTAGATGACCTCCAAGGTCCCTTCCAACTTTACTACTACTACTACTACTACTACTACTACTACTATTATTATTAGTAGTAGTAGTAGTAGTAGTAGTAGTAGTAGTCAGGGCAGTGATCAAATACCCAGTCAGTTGGTTATTTTGGATCCAGAGACAATAAGCACACCAGTGAATAAAGATAAGTTTTGTTATGAACTCAAACAAATTTAAAAGCATAACATAAAAAGCATATATACCAAACAAGATGAGATTGAAATCCTTGCGCTCCTTAATCATGAGAGCAGAGAGACTCCAATTTCCACAGTATCCAGTGCTAGGTTTTGTGCAGAGGCAAACAACAACAACTCCAAGGTGGGTTGTTGTTTCTTTATCAAACCCTGACATCATGCCTGTCTGGTCTGTTATGGTCATGAGACTGTAAGACCTGGCTTTGGCAGGATGGCATATAACTTTCATAGGTTTGCAGCTATATAAAAACTCTCTCTTTCCCTCCCATCCCTTCTCTTTTATTCAGTAAACAAGAGGGAAAAAAACAGGCAGGCTAACTCGGAATGAAGTCTAAACTTTTGGACTTTTCTTAATATGAAGGAGAACTCAAAGTATGTCACCAAACTCCTCAGAATAATAATGGATTTCTGCATTGTCACTGCATATGCCTACCACCTTGGCCTATCCTGGATCTGCGATCTTGCAAGCATGTTCCTGTGATATCCCTGATCCTGATTATCCACCTTATATGTTACTTTCCATTCTTCTATTCCTTGCTGAGTGTTGTTTTTTTATACTCCATTATCCACTCTTCTGAACCAAAGTACCTGTTCAATGCCCCAAAGCGGCAGTCAATCTTTATTTTTTCCAGAATTGATTCACAGTCTTAGTAACTATGTCTAGATCCATAATTCATTGTCTTCCTTTTTCTCAGTATCCAGCTTTCACAGCAGTTCATTACTACTGGTAAAAAAAAAAATATTGCTTTGACCATTTTAATCCTTGCTGTCATTAGAAAATCCTTATCATTGCATAGTTTCATTGTTTTTCTCTGAAAGCAAGATGCTTAGAGTTCTCGTGTTGGTTTCTTTGAGATGCTTGAATTTGGTGTTTGGAACTCATCTTACTCTCCCTGCCCCTTCCCTCCACTTTTTTAAATTATAGGAGATATGAAATAATAAACAGTGAAGGAAAGTGCAAAATCATAATGAGGAATGAACTGGGATTCATAATACTTCCAAACTCATTTCTATTTTCTAACATTTAGTTCTGTTCTGTAAGTAATTGTGTTCATAATTATATACACATATTATATAATATATGTGTATATATGTACATAGTATATATATGTGTTTGTATGTGTGTGTGTGTGTGTGTATGTTTATAAGTGTTATATATAAAAGGGGAAAAGAGAACAGCCACCTTGGAAACCATTAGCATAGCAGCAAACGCGTGCCCTAAAAATAAAACAACTAGAGACAATTAGTGGACCAATGACCAGGTCGAAAAGCCGAGTGCAGAGTCAACTGGTAATAAAAGAGAACTCCCAGTAACCTTGCTTTTATGCTCTGATGATGTTGGCAGTGTTGGCCGACAAAAGCTCAGCACTTGTATTAAACAGTTTTTGGTTTAATTTTATCCTGGTGTTCGATATATATATCGAGATAGCAAGATAGCAACAGCAATAGCACTTAGATTCATACACCACTTCTTGGTGCTTTACAGCCCTCTCTAAGCAGTTTACAGAGTCAGCACATTGCCCCCCCCAATAGTCTGGAACATAGAACATCATCAGAGTTGGAAGGGGCCTTGGAGGTTATCTAATCCAACTCCCTTCTCTACCAGGAGACCCAATACCATTTCAGACAAATGGCTGTCCAGTCTCTTCTTAAAAGCTTCCAGTGATGGAGCACCCACAACTTCTGAAGGCAATATGTTCCACTGGTTGATTTTCTCACTGTCGAGAAATTTTTCCTTAGTTCTAGTTTGGATCTCTCTTGGATTAGTTTCCATCTGTTGTTTCTTGTCTTGTCTTCGGATGCTTTGGAAAATAAGTTGACCCTCTCTTCTTTGTAGCAAATATTGGAACACTGCTATCATGTCACCCCTGTTCCTTCTTTTCACTGGACTAGACAAACCCAATTCCTGCAACCGTTTTTTATATGTTTTAGCTTCCAGCCCCCTAATCATCTTTGTTGCTCTTTTCTGTATGTATATGCCTGTGTATATAATTTATATACCTTTTTATGTTTAAAAAAAAATAAAGGAATTTGTTATTTATATATATTAACTGTATATTTTACATATGGCTGAAGACAATTTCACTTCGCCCAATGCGGCCCAAGTAAGCCAAAAGTTTGGATAACCATGATTTAGAGTGACCATTGACATTGTGGTATCTCACAGACCCTCATCCTGCCCCCCATTCATTGTCCTCATTAAAATGCTAGATGAGATCATCCAGAATTTTAAAAATTGGCATAATCAGTATGCTGTTATTGTTGCAGTAGGTATCCCTGAACGTTGTGCAGTAGGTATCCCTGAACGTTATCCAAACATTTCAGTGGGTACACAAGTAATTGGCATAAGGATCATATATCTTAAGATTTGCAAACTTCTTCGGGCCATGGAATCTGTTTGACTTTTTTCTAAAAAAATTCCACAATCAGAAAGGGTGGGGCTTTTCAATATTGTTTGACAGGTCCCACCCTTCCCACTGTACCTTAAATCAGTGGTTCTCAACCTTTTTAATGCCGCGACCCCCAAACGGTCGTAAGTCAAGGACTACTCAACTGGTGCAGCACCGTTTGCAGAATGGGACTTTCAGAGGGCTCAGCAGGGCAGAGACAGCCTGGACAATTCCTATTGGCTTTTGAAAGCCAATAGAATTAGACTCTATTCAAGAGAGTCTATTCTATTGGCTTTCAAAAGCCAATAGAATAAAAGGGAGTAGCACAGCTAAGGAAAAGGGGAAAAAAATGGCAGACTGCTTTGTTTGGCGACCCCCATGAAATGGTCGTTTGACCCCAAATGGGATCCCGACTCACAGGTTGAGAACCACTGCCTTAAATTATTGGCATCTTTAAAGAGCAGCATCATGGTGAGATAGGATGGCTGAATACATTCAGTGTTTTTTTTTCCATAGTCCCTTGCAGACAGTTTTAAGCCATCTGCTCTCATCTCAATGCTGTTCTTCAGTGGCATTTGTAGCAATATTTCTAAGTGTTGGACAAGAGGGGAAAAAAACCTCTTTTCCTTAAGAGACTGGGGGGGGCTCTCTGTTCAAGAGAATAAATCTTATTCACTTGGCAAGAGTTTTTGTTCTGTAGTTCCATTCTAGTTCTGCAGAATCCATTCAGGTCCTCATAGATCTCTTCCATGGAATAGAGTTTGAAAAACCCCAAACTTCCAGATTATAGAGGAAAAATCTTTTGAAGATAATCCTTTTTCCCAGCACCTTTATTTCTCCTCAAGCTATGCAGTTTTCTCCTTTGGGTTTAGGGGTTAGCCCTTATTTTTTAGCGTTTAGAGCAGTGGTGGTGGACCTATGGCACGCGTGCCAGAGGCGGCACTCAGAGCCCTCTCTGTGGGCACATGTGCCGTTGACTCAGCTTCGCCTCCCCCCTGCGACCCTCTCACCAGCAGCCCCTCTGGAGGAGAGTCACCCCTGAGCATGGCCCATGCAGAGCAGCGCAGTCAAGGACATGGCAGCCAGGCAGTGTGGACAAGACTGTGCACTCATGTCCCATGGGGCACAGTTGATGCTGCGGGACACGAGCAGAGGGCATGGCCAGCATGGTGCTGTTGGGCTGCCTGGGTGATCTGTGATGGACCCTGGAGGCGGTGAGTGGCCCTGTGGGCAGACAGGGTGGGGGGGCAGGCTGGGGTGGAGCAAGAGCGCGGCCAGTTTTTTGGGCACTCAGTCTCTAAAAGGTTCGCCATCACTGGTTTAGAGAATCTAGAAAAACATTTTTTTAACTAGGTTTGTAATTGCTGAATTATTTATTGCCTACTTTAATGGTAATTTTAATCTGTTTTATGTTTAAAAACATTTGGCAGCCCTCCTCCCCATCCCCCAGCACACAGAGTTAAAAAAGGGTTATAAATAAAATAAAATAAAATAAAATATTTCTTCATTTAACAAAGTTGTGGATGGTATCTATGGAATACATGCAAATTTACTGAATTGGTTCTGGAGAGCGTGTTAAATCACATATTAATCACCATTTAGGAAAGTCAGAGTCACAGAGTGACTTAAAAGCTCCTCCCTCCCTTTTCTGCCTCCTTGGTCTGAACTTCATGTCTTTTTTTTTACAGTGAACGGATATCACATACCAGGCACATTGGCATCCCAGCTAGAGCCAAGCCACATGAGTCTCCGCAAAATCAGCAGTGACCCTCAGGTAAATTCACACAATGTGCTTCAAGGATCCTTCCTTAATAAATTTAGCTTTATTTAGAACCAGGGTTAGTGGTAACTTCCAGTACCAGGAAGCTTGGAAGTTGCTTTTTTTAAAAATTTAGAAATTGTGAATTACCATTACTGTAAACCAAAGCCCAAGCTCGTACTGTGAATCCCAAAGTCATTATAGTCCTGAACCACCTCTCTCCCTTCCTCCCCCCTCCATTTGTGTGTGTCTGTGTGTGTGTGTGTGTGTGTGTCTGTGTGTGTCTGTGTGTGTCTGTGTGTCTGTGTGTGTGTGTGTGTGTGTCTATCTCTTTCCATCTCTCTTTCTCGGCTGTTTTTATATGTCGGAGCTCCTATTGATCTTATTCAGTTTTGGCCATCTGTGATCATTTGGCAGCATGAAGTTCTTCAAGCAAGTCATGCAATGTGCTTTCTTTCTGTCCAAGTTTTAATTGCAATTACACTAAATGTCTGCTTACTCTTTGCTCTTTGGTCTTTACTTCAAAGATGAGGGGATTTTTTTTTGGGTTATCTTCAATCAAATCTATGTTTCTCACATTTTTTTATGATATGTGTGAACTTGGGAAGTTGGGGGTATTGGAAATCCTCCATGAGCCTCTTTTATTGCTATTTTTGAACATGTTGAAAGATGGCTTGAAGTTTTCTTGCAGAAATACATGGTTTAGATCCTTAGGTCATATACATGCTTCAGAATTCTATGTATAATTGTTGTGCTAAGCGTAACAGTGCGGTGATAATGACAGTACTTGACACCAATCCAGCATGTCACTGTGCTAGGAGACTTTTGAGAAATTTCCACTTTCCTGCATTCTAAACACCAAGATCATCCTGAAGTGATCTTTTGCAAATGGCATCTCTAAACTGCAACCCAGTGCTCCTTGTAGTTTCCAGTTGTGTTTGTAAGTGTTATTCATTAACATCTCCAATGGATTTTATAAAATCACAGAATGGGAATTCCAGCTAATTGCAGGAATCCAAATTAAAGCATCTCTGGCTGCCTAGAACCCATCCAGCATTATTGTTCTAGATAATAATACTTTCCACTGTCATAACATTTGCTCTTAATGATTAGCCATTTTTTCCAATAATCATTTTATATTTTAATTCAAATTTAAGTACATTTCACTATTTTCCTCACTCCGAGACAACAGAATACAGGTCTTAATCTTTTGTTGTGTGACATCCTTCAAGTATTTGGAGAATATTATTATATTTCTCCTTGTCTCAGATCTACTCAAGGTTAAATATACCCAATTTTTCAATGGAAATTATTGTTTCTATTCCCCCAACATCCCTGGTTGCACTTTTCTGACCCTGCATCACTTAATCTGTAGTACTTTCAACATAATACCTGAGCTTTGAGCCAACCAATTCAGAATAAAGTAAAAATTGTAGTTCCTGTGAAACCTAAACTTGTAGTAACTTCTATTGCAACCACATCAGACTACTGATTCATACTCAATTTCTAATCAACAATTCTTTCAAAATATTTTGTTAAGTACTATTAAAAAACCATAACCATAAACCAAACAATATCTATGCATTTGATTTATGATTCCTGAATATATGTTTGCATAAGTCTCTGTTAAATTGCATTCTTTTATTTTTCAGCACATTTGTCTACTACAACAAGATTTTATTTTTGTCTTCTACAATACTGGCTATCTCCCCTTGCCCCAATATTGTATTATTATTAATAAGTTGTATTCCACCTCTTCATCTAAGTCATTAATAAAAATATAGTCCTTGGAATCTTCTGTCACTCTATTCAATATCTCCAGAGTGATGAGGAAATTGCTTTGAATGTTCTGCATGTCTTAAAAGGTGAGACATGATGACTAAATAAAGCAGAATTATAAAGATCCAGAATGCAGCACCCTATCCAAAATTTAAATCCTCATTCTGCACCTGTGTGGATTAAAATACATTTGGTCATTTCTAACCATGACATTGCCAAGTAACTTTGGCAGTTTATGTGTAGATTTCAGTTTCTCATTTACAATGCACACATTGTGATAATGGAGGAAATGTTACATCACAGATTACAATAACATATTAGAAATGTAATTTTGTAATTTATCAGATCCTTTGGTTATTTTATTATTTGGTCACTGATATGATACAGCTCCTTCCCAAATGTTAATGGAAAGAACTTGCAGGCCAATTTCACAAGTGATAACTTGAACTGATTTTTGCATTTTCTTGCATATACTTTCAATAAAAAAAGTTACATTGACTAGGATATGCATCTTAAATGTTTCTTCCTTTTTCCATTTATTAACAGTATTTCAGACAAATGTCAGGAGGAATTTATATAGCTCTACATCTACCAAATGTTTACATTGTGTGTATGATACAGCAATTTTAGACTAAATACTACAAATGAAACATCTGTCTAAGCTACTGCCTCCAACATAATATGTTCCAGCTCACAGAATTTAGTTATATTTTATCCTGGCTTTCCTACAGATATGAATACAGTTTAATACTTACATTCCGGTCCTATTCAGGAAAGTAGGCAAATTGATATTATTTGCTCAGAGTAATTAGGCTAGCTACATCATTCAATAGCAGTATGAATCTAAACCTCTGTTAAAAAAAAAAGCACTACCTGTCTTGTTGCCATTGCTAAATTATTGGATGTCTGCAAGGTGTACTTTCTGTATACCTAGGAAGCACCAGTTTTTAGGAAGCTCCTGAAAGATTCATTGTCATCAACAACATTTTGTGAGTCTCCTTGAATGTATTGTAGAATAGCAAATTAGAAAGTACGTATTGCCAGCACAATTAGAGGATGGTGGTTCAGAAAAAATTGCTACTGTAAGCTTTGATTGAGTCAGCAAGTCATATCTTTTAGAACATGAAGAACTTGGTCAAAACAGCTCTGCTGGCCTTCCACACTGCGTGGGCCCCGAGGCACTTCTCCTCTCAATCTTTTCAGTCTTTTCCCCAGTGCTGCCAAAAGCAGAGCCCTCCCCCCCACACTCACAGCTGAGAATTTAGATTTCCAATACTTGGCAATATCTTCATTCTTCACATTATCCAGTATTTTTTTTTAATGTTTGCAGTTTCACTGTAGAACAGATTGTTTTTGCCTATGCAACCTGAAGCATGTTAAAGATGCTAGCAGGATAAACCTCAAAACAAGGAAGATTCTGTTTTAGAACAAAAATTATACCCTTCTCCATTTTTCCATGACTCTTGGAAAGAGGGGCTCCTGCTGATGTTTAGCCTTTCACAATGTGACTCAGTCCACAGCAGGTCTTTATCACACCTTTCTTTCTATATTACCTTCCTGAAGCATCAAAACAAACTCCCTCTCCCTCCTTTCTACTGGATAACTTTATTGAGGTCAATGGTCTTACAAACACAATGGACAACCCAAATTATCAAGGGCAAGGGCTGCTTCTTATGCTCAAAGTTTACAACATCTATGACTACTATAGCATAGGAAAAAGGAAGTGACAAATGGAGGCCGTGTTAAACAATTAAATGTGGTGTGAAGGAAATGAGAGGATAATTTAATTCTAGAGCTGTTTCATCCAATAAGGTTAAAATTCAAGTTACCTAAGAAGATATACTTCATATAGCGTATTGAATATGGAATCCATTGCTACTATATTAAGATTTGACTTCAAATTTGTATATCTTCCAAAAGTGAATGAACAAATTAAAAAAAAGATAAAGTTTTCAATTTCTATTAGTCATGTTAGCTATTGTGTATTATCTAATATTAAAAGAAATACATCTCTCAGTGCAAACTGTTGGCTTTACACTGAGAGTGCAATGCAAAACTGAAGATTTATCACACCTTCCTTGGGTACATCCTATAGGTATTTGATATTTCCACTTCGGAAACAGAATGCTGAATTAAATTGGCCTTTCATTTGATGTATGTAGAAAATTACAAAGTTGGTATACAAGAGAAGAAAACTCTGTCTGAATCTGAATGCATTCTCCAAAACTTTCAATCTAACAATCACCTTAATCACCTGAAATAAATGCATTTCTAAAATAAATGCATGATTGTAATAGATCCATTGAACAAACAAATTCTGAATCCATTTTTTACTTTCCCCAAAGACTCATTCTCTCTAGCTGAAAAGGCAGATTGAATAGTTACTATATTCTATATCTTCCTTTATATCACTGGCACATCTCTTCTCTTTGCACACTGAGTGATGACTGAACCTTGTTTGGTAGATACTTCTTGTGTTTGTTTACCTTGGTCTTCATGGTTGTTGTTATTTTGTAGCACCCAAGATAGCGATCACTCTGAGTTCATCTGGTCTTTGTCTTGGTGTAAGAATTTAAGTTAATGGTCTTTATTTTGGATTTACTGAGGTTATATATGAATGGCACAGAATTAGATGATTTCTGAGTACATTATTCTATATAGAGATTTTAGAATATATAGATTTCATATTTACGTTAACAGTAAGTGATTTGCAATGACCAAACAGTCAACAGAGAAGCTTCATGCAAGGCTCAAGTGATTTTTCTTATATTGGCTTTGAAATGTAGTCAGCCAACTGGAAAGAATGGGGAAAATGGAATATCCTTAGCTAATGTGATACAAACAGTTGGTTCAAAGAAGTTTTAATATTAACCAAAGCAATTTGCTGGTTTGAAAGCTCAGAGAATTTAGGTTTACTACTGAAGCTACTAGTAGTTTATTGAGCATGAAAGTACATTCCATATAGACAAAGCTGATAGCTTTAAAGAATATTTTTTTGTTACTTTTATTCTGCCTTTTTTTAAATACACAACTCAAGGTTGTGTATGTATCCTATTTTTCCCCCAACAACAACTCTGTGAGATGGATTGGGCTGAGAGAAATGACTGGTCCAAAATCACCTAGCCAGTTTTTAATATCATGGCAGGTCTAGAAGTCACAGTCTTCTTGTTTCTGGGCCAGCACTTTCAACACCATAACCAAACTTAATGATTGTCTTTATAAAGAAAACAGACATTTAGAATTCATTATATGGTTCTTTCCAGTAAAATTAGCAGTCAGCCCTAATTTTGTTGTAGAACCAATGCTGGCCCGCTGCTTGGTGATTCCTTTTCTGTACATGTGAACAACTAATGCTAACAGCGTTATTTTTAAAAAAATCCCTTAAGACATTTCAAGATACGAATGTGTGAGGGATTAAAGCATTTCTTAGCCCTCAGATTTGTGTCCTGAATTAAAGATTGATAAAAGATGTATTTTGTTTAAAATGAAATTAAGAGAAGCTTTGAAAGAAAAAGAAATAATTCTGTCCCAGAAATCACAGAGAAAGAAGAACATGATGCTCTATTCCGGATTATACCATAGTGCAGATTAGGATGGACTGGCATGATGCTATAACCCAGGGGTCCCCAACCCCTGGTCCATGGACCAGTACCGGGCCACGGCATGCCAGCACAAATAAGCAAAGCCTCATCTGCAAGATGCAGACTGCACATAAAACCACACACTCTCTGGTCCGTGGAAAAACCTCTTTCCACAGAACCGGTCCCTGGTGCCCAAAAGGTTGGGGGCCACTGCTCTAACTTGGGGAATATGGCCACTAAAGGATTGGTTATTCCTTATACTAAATCTGTTTCCTAGATTTTTGTGACTATTGTCTATCATCAATTCAAAACAGGTCGGTGGAGCTCTGCTCTTGAAGTACTTTTTTGTTGCTCTGTGTAGTGCTGGGTAATACAATGTACATTTATTTCTTTATTTTGTAAGAGATATAGACAGTAAATGGACCTTTCAAGAATAATGGAAACAATTAAGGATGCAGCAGGACATGTCCATCATGCTGCTAGCTGTTGCATGGGGTTTGAGATGGAATAACAGAGCAAATGTCAGCTTAAAACATATAGCTGTTGTCTCCTTGATAGAATGTTGCACCCGGTGCTTTTTGTTTAGTACATTTTGTGTCTGTCAGTTTTATGCAAGCGATGCTTCATAAAGCTTTTAGTCTTTTGCAAATATAAGTAGAAGAAGCCTGAGGGATGGCTGCATTGTGGTTTTAGCTTCACATGCAGACAGCTATAGTTGGATGAAGCAATTACTTTTGTTCAGTGTTTAATGTTCTTGGACTGGTTCTATTTTCACTTGTTTCTATAACAGTTTGCATTTTAGAAGATTAGATTTTCCCCTAATGCTAGCTAGCTATGTTTATTCAGTTTCAAGGCAGCTTTAAAAAAATGTGTTGGGTTTTTTGATTTGTTTGTACCAATGCATGCATTTCTGTGCAAATCATTCCACTAATGTAAAGACCATCCTATGCACTCTTTGGAGAACTGTACCATGATATTGAAACAGTGCAGATTTTAATTCAGGAAAATGCAAATTAGATAAGCTAGGTTAAATGAATTGATTCCCTATCTCTACCTAGGCAATATGTCTTTACCTCTTGTGACTGAGTTTTTAAAGGCATCAGAAAAGCAAGGGGGATGAAAGGTGTCTGAACCGACAATAAAAAAATAATGTTTATATACACCAACTGTAGTGTATATATGTGGAGTTTCTGATAACTCTTTAGTCTTAGTACCGAGAGAATCCAGATCCAGAGTTGGCATGCAGTTGAAGGGTTAATTCCAAAGCAAAGCACTGATTGGAAGGGGAGGGGTCACCCTCTTTCGAATGAATTATCTGGCTGTACAGAGCTTGTGTGCTGCTTCAGGATCACAGTGTAGGACTCTCCCATGCAAGAGCCCAGCTGCCAGGTTGTGACACTTCCAGACATGGGAAAAGGCTAACCCAGGAATCAAGCAGAAGGGACTCTGCTCACAATTGGCTTGCATTTAGCTTTAAACATCACCTCCATACATACATCCTTATATACACAATTTCTCAAAAAAAAAAAAAACCATACCATGTCGGATGTGGAATGCAGTTTTGATGATGCTTCTTGCCTCTCTCCTCAGAGTCCTGGGTCTCCATCACCTACTCGAAAGCAGAATAAGGAGAACACCTTTACGGTAAGTAGAATACTGGAGTGATAATCACCAATCCAGTTGCTATGGTGATCCAGTCAGCAAGTAGCACTGCAGGCCGGGATGGAGGGGGGTGAAGACAGGATTTTGTGTGCTGGGGTCTGCCTCATGTTTTCCAGATGTAAACATGGTTCTTCCTCTCCTCAGCAGTAGCTGCAATGAAGCCATATTTAAAAGGCTGAAGCTAGCAAAAAGCCTGTTACACAGAGATGGGAAAGCAACAACAGAAAGCCAAAGAGAGGGTGGGAGACACTTCTCTGTGTTGAGCTTTTTAAATTACAGTTGGAACAGTTTTTCATTTCGTTCAAACAATTTATTCCTAGTGAAGTCATCTAAAGAATGGAGTATGTTCCTGTGAACAGTACACACAATGCAAAAAGTTAATAACAAGGTTTCATGAAACCTGTTTTCGATGGTGGTTTACCTTTTCGGTTTGAACGACTAGAGAAAAATAAGTCTCTGTGTGCATACACATAGTTATTTTTCTCTAGTATTCATACATGCAAACATATACCCTCTAAAGTTGTTTCTCAGTATGGATGGCTGAGATGTAAGATTTTGAATTCTGTTATTTTAAATCAATATAAACTTATTCTTCACACCATTATCGCTCATAAACATGGGTCACATGTACAAAATTTGAATGCAGTGATTAAAAAGCTGTAAATGCTTCTCTGTTGAAGTGTGAGGTCTGCCTTTTTGCTACTGACAATAATGGAAAGAAATCTGTTGAAACAGCATGATATCCCTCAATGATCGAGTAAGAGAGAAAACACCAGGGAACCCGTATATGGTAGATTGATTTTTCATATAGGTGCTGATGTTCTCTTTTGATATCCATTCAGTTTTTACAGGTTTGAAATGTAGTTTTAGTGTTTCATCAACTTATACCTTTTAGGATTTACACCAGGCAGTGAAAAATATCATTTGTATATTGGAGTGAAAGGGTGATTTTCGATTTGTTTTGAAGAAAGGCTGCAATAGGATCAGATTTACTGAATGAATTGCAGATTGCTCCACTTCTCAATGAAACCATTAGCAACCAAAATAAATACTTTACACTTATTTCCAGCTAAGAGGTTATTTAAAAAGACAGTCCCAAATGTTGATAAAGGATGTTGATTCTTATTTGGTTGCCTTCACTCTGTTGATTATTTGTGCTTTAGACAACTTCAGGAATTGTTACCCCAGAATAACTGTCAAGTGAAGTCAACTCAGCTAACTTTACTTAACAGTTCTTCTGAAGTCATTGTTCCTGAAATTGCCTGAAGCAATGTCATTTTCTGACAAAGTCAGAATAACCACAGTAAGTCAGAAATGAAACAAAAGAAAAATTGTACTTTATTATTACTCTTATATACTTTATCCTATTTCCTGAAGTGGATTGATTTTGCACCTCCTATACTACAGATTTTCTTCCATTCCTTTCTTAAATTTCAAACTCAATATTGAGAAACATCTTCATTTCTAAAGGAAATATCTGATAGGTATAATCTCGTGTGTGTGTGTGTGTGTGTGTGTGTGTGTGTGTGTGTGTGTGTGTGTTAGATTACAAGACCTCCAAGGTCTTTTTCAATTCTGTTATTCTGGATGTCTCAGATGTTCACCTCTAACTTCCAGAAACCAGAATCCACAAACTGACTGTTGATTTTTCTTGCTTCAGAATAAAAATATATCAGATGATCAGGAGACTCTCAGAGAATGCTGCTTATAAATAATATGAAATCATGTTTTGGAAGTAGAGATACTAGCCCTGATCCTTTCTAGGCTCACTTGTCTGTCCCCATCTTGTCTTCTTCCCTGTATATCACAATTCAGAATGTCTGACTTTGGGCATATCACCAAGATATAAGTTGGCCTTAGTATCCGAATACCACACAATTGTAGTAGTCTCCAGGTAGGCACAAACCATTATTTGGTTTGCATATGCTGAAGAAAATCATAGGTTGCACAGATGTTTGACATCCTACAGGAGGAGGTGTTATGTCTGGATTCATTCACATAATACTAAAGGTATGAAAATAGCTGTTTTGTTTCTATGGAAAATACAGAGTACTTGCCAATTTTCTGAGATTTTCCCCAGTGAGTGTTTCTGTGGTCAAGAATTAGTTCCCTATGCTTCAATTACTGTAATCTCATAAAAATTGTTCCTCCGATTAAAGTACTGCAGATATGGAGTGGATAAATAAGATATCCATAAATATATCCTCCTTGAAATGCTGATGAACAGTGACATAGATCCTTTATCCCAAACCGGGTGCCTTTTTATGAAACCAAATATAATAAAAAAAAACCTCTTGAAATTTAAGAGATTAAATACAATGTTCATGATAGGAAGGCCTTATCCTTATACCTGTTGGTGCATAGCATATGAAAATGGGAAAGAAGAACCAAATTATTTATGTATATCGAAGATGAAGCTACACAGCTTTCTACTCATATGTTAACATGAAAATGTAATGCTTGAAATATCTTGACTTTTGCCCAACATTTCCTTCACCCAGAAGAGTGTTAACTTTGAGCAAATATTTCAAAGCAGCATCAGCAAAGATCCTCTTTTCCCCATGGTCTGATGTTTGAATATTGCAATATAAAGATTATTCTTATTCCCCTTGCGTTTTCGTGCAACTCATAATTGTACACCTGCACAACCTGCATAATTCCAAGTAGGAATGCAGCTGTGACTTTCAGCATTTGCTTCTCCAGCAAGATCACAGGAAATTGTGCTTTTGGCACTTGGTCACATTCAACACTGGTACTGTGTAAAAAGGATTTAGTTGGTATTTAAATCATCTGGAAATGCCCTCAAATGACATTATGGCCAAATGATGTTCCCTTGGGCAGCCACATCCTTCAGGTGCCAACAAGGTTCATAGAGAAGTTATGGCTGTAAGTGAAGTCATTTGATATTCCCTGGAAGCCTCATGAGAGGAACTGTGAACTAGAAGATGTTGACAAGATGTTGTCTTTCAGAACAGGCTTTGGATACTATTTTTAGATAGCTTTTCTACTGTCCACAGTGATGCTGTTCCGAGACTTGAATGAAGCACTCATTATGCTTTTGATCTTCACTTCATGGATCTTCATATAGTCTTTTTTCCTTCCCCAAAACAGCCTAATAGCCATTTTTAAGGGAAATAAACAATTGCCATGCTATTTTTTTTTCTGTGATGTTATTTTTCAGGTGGAAAATAGGCAATGATTTTCCATGGATTCAGGGTTGTAAGAGTAGTCTTAAACTGGACAACTATACCATTTTGTGTTTATTGCTGCCTATCAAATTCTGGTCGATCTATTTTTTTTTTCAGGGTTTTGTAGCATTTTTGGCCTGGAAAACATTTTTAAAACCCTAGAAGCTTAGGCAGTACCACTACAAGCAGAAACACCTAGGTTGAATGTAAAGGACAGAGAAGCTTCTTAGATGCTGCCCACATTGCACATATAGCCTCCATATAAAGATACATTCTAGAAGTATTTTACCTTTTTTAAAGAGATTGTTTATCGGCATGAGCACTCAGATAGCTCTACAGAAATGGAACTATAGCCCATGCCTTTGACAATTTGTTACAGAAATGCCTTTTTCTTAAAACACTGTATTTCTCCATCTTGATTAAAAAAATTTATTCTGCTTGAAGGAAGATTTTCCATCTTATGAAAGTGCTACAACCAGCATGGGTTTATTGCTCCTGTTGAGTCAGAAGATAATGCTTGGACCCTTAGGTGCTTTGAATTTCAAGGCAAAAAGGGGCTCCAGAATATTGGAGATGTACAGGAAGCATCTATCTGTGACTTCTTTGTAACCAAGCTCATTTTTTCTTGAGATTGTGCTGCAGTGAAGGAAGACTGTTGCATGATCCTGAGAAAAGATGCAGCTGTAGGGAATTGTGAATAGGTGCTACCTCATATTCACATGTTTCAGGTCTTGAAACACTAGACAGTGCCAATAATCACATCTGTTGCTGAAGAAAAATAATCTGTATATCTTTTTTATTTCTTGCATTAGAAAAATGCTCATCTATATTCCATATACCAGACAAAATGTATGGAATCATATGTGGATGGAGCAATGTAAACATTGCACAATTATTACTGATACATTGGATAGTATCAACATATTCTCCATTTTATGGAGAAGACCTTGCATTCTTCTTTTCTGAAAAGAAAACATAACAAGAGATTTGATAACTATGTTGAAGTATCTCAAAAAAAAATTGTCATGCAGAAAACGGGGTAGATTTGTTCAGGTTGTTCCAAGGACAGAATATAAAGTAATGGGTTTAAATACAAGGGGGAAAATATTTGGTTAGACATCCTAATAGTAAAAGCTGTTTAACAGTGAAACAGATTGTCTTGGCAGGTGATGGACTCTCATCTGCTGGGGGTATGGTGGCCATCTGCAGGAAAGTCTATCATGTGGGATTCCTCTACTGAAGAGGAGATTGGTCTGGATAATCAGCAAGACCCCCTCCATAAGTAGTTCAATGTTCTATAATTCTGCGATGCAGAAAGCATATAAAGAGCATTCTGGTGTCCTTGTATTTCTGGAAAGTTCATAAAAGCTTGTGTTTGCTCGTATCTCTGAGAACTAGGAACTTAAGCATTCATTTTGGTATACTTGTTATTTTTCCTGAAATGAAGGAAAGAAATGTTCTCTCAGCAGGTGTCATAAATTTAACTAGTGAACATTTTCCAGAGGAGATCAGTTGTACTTGACAGAAAATAAGTGTGAAAATACAACCTTTAATTGCTCTTTTTTCCTCTCCCTCTTAAGGACCTCCATATATATCTGAAAATTATTGGTAGTCACTTGCCTATAGTGATTTGTGCATAATTCGTGATAGCATCATCATCATCTACATAAAACAAATATTTACATTTATTATTCATCTAAAAGATTATATGTGGATTTTTTAATCTATCCATGGGATTCAGAGAATACTAACGTCCTACCAACTTTCAGAGAGAATTTAGTGCCCTGTTGAGTTCTAGGTATATTGATAATTGAATAAATATACATTAATAACTGTATTTGGGATTAGTATATTCTGATAAGCAATTTTCATGTGCTATGCCATCTTTGGGGTTTAACTGTTTTTGGAATTAATTTACCTGAATAGTTCTGGACTTATGGTTTTTTTGTTTATTTTAAAGCATTTTTGGCTGGATTGGTCCTTCTAGTTGACTTCAAATCCATGAATGGATTTGTGAGGCTATACCATTGAAAGCAATTGCATTTTTTAATATTTGATTTATTACTCAGTTCCTCACCCCCAGTGTGCCTAAATCTTTATTAAAATGTTTTTGCCACAGATTTTTTTTTTGGGAGAAGAGTGATATCATCTAAAGTAAAAAAATAGCTTTGTCATGAAGGGTTTCTAAATTTTTCTGAAGGGAAAAAAGTGTAATTCAGATTGTGGTTCTATCTTGCTTGGGGTCTTTTTTCTAGATATTGCAGAAGCTTTCAACTGAGGAAGCCCTTTCTACCTTCTTTTGATGACATCTTCTGGCTGGAGAGAGAATTGCTCCAATAACTGCCTATATCTGTGTCCTGTTTTGGCATCTAGCCTCTCTACATATGTAGCATCTCTCCATTACTGAATTGCTTTGCATGTCCAGCATATTTATGTTACTTTCTTCCTCTTTATTAGATAAACTGTGTGACTTTTCCTCATCCTGACACAATGCCAGAACAGCAGTTGCTAAAACCTTCTGAATGGAGCTACTGTGATTATTTCTGGGTAAGTGAGCAGCTTCCCATATGCTGTTTACTGCAGCAGTTGAGCTTTACATAGGATGAGACATATTGCTAACATCTCTGATAGCAAACATGATAAAATTCAAGCCTAAAAGTTGATGCATAAGACACTGTAAAAGTTATTCTGTTTCTTTATGTATGAAATCCAGCAGAACCACTATATTGTTAAAACCAGAAGAATGGAATAAAATAGAATCATTTTGTGGCCTTCCCAGTCTGCAGTGCTTTAAACCAGAAATGGGCAATTCATAGCTGTAAAAACTGTTTCCCCACCTATCAGGCAGCAGATCACTCAGCAGATTCATATTTTATGCTAATGGTTGGGGGGGGGGAAACCAATCATTTTGAGGAAGGAGGGAAAAAATTGAGAAGGAGAAAATAGCCTTCTTTCCAAAAGTGTCTGTAAAGTCACAACACTTGTTATCTATTAAAGTTGAACAGCATCTGTGAGCTGGCACAGCATAAATCAGAGGTCTTCAAACTTGGCCCTTTTATGACTTGTGGACTTCAACTCCCAGAATTCCTCAGCCAGTGTGCCTGGCTGAGGAATTCTGGGAGTTGAAGTCCACAAATCATAAAAGGGCCAAGTTTGAAGACCTCTGGCATAAATCCCCCTTTCCCAATTTCACATAGTGTAAAACCAGCAATCTGAAAGTTGCATCACATGGAGAAAGGCAAAAGTCTTTTTGCTTCTCTATTCTGTTCATTGACCATATGCCCAACAAGAAAAGGGCATATGCGTATGTGTGTTTGAGAGACAGTGGTTGCATATAAGTAGGTAATTATCTCCCGTCAGTAATCCCTGTAGCCATTGGAGCCATAAAAGTTTGTCCAGCCACATCTGAACCTAACATTCCATTTAGCTCTGAGGCACGTAATATTTTATGTGTCATCCATCTCATTTCATTCAACACTGGAAGTTTTTAAGAAGAGACTGGAGAACCACTTGTCTGAAATAGTATAAGGTTTCCTGCCTGAGCAGTGGGTTGGACTAGAATAGGGGTATCAAACTGCCGGCCCACAGGCCAGATGTGTCATATCGAAACCACGCCCACCCCAGTTCCGGCAATGGGGAAAAAGTCGTGATACATCGCGAGACATCACGTCATTGTGAGGTTGACATCCCTGGACTGGAAGACCTCAAAGGTCCCTTCCAACTCTATTGTTGTTATTGTTGTCATTATTATTATCATCATCATCATCATCCATCTCATCATGTCTTATTCACTACAGATGGTTTCCAGAACAGATTTGTTTCTTATAGTTAGAAGGGAGTGTGTATGAATATGCATGATTATGCCTAAATGGGTGAATAAAATACTAGATCTAGGTTGATATCTTTCTCAATCAAGTAACCAATTACATATTACCTTAGAGCATCAAGAATCATTGGTTGATCCTTGGTTGATGCAGAGACAGAGATAGTTAAATTTACCAAATGCACTATGAATCATATACCTCCCTTCTCATTTGTTTTGTACTCCTGGATTAATGATCTGTAAATGTCAATTTGTCTGAGCCTCATATTAGAAGTCGCCTCCTGCCTGCCCGTTTGTATTCAGACTGATGGTTTATACTCACTACTGACCACTAGGGGGACTATGCAACCAGTTTTGTTTTTATCGGAATTCATCAGGCATAGATAACCCCTATGTTAGATCTCAGTACACTCAACTCTTACTGGGATTTGAACTTGCCCACCTGAGGTGAGTTCATCAGTTTGCTAAATGTTTCAAGTTTGTTTAATTTTTAATACTGGGTTGTAAGCATTCTTGAAATTTTGAAAAAATGGCCGTGAAGATGTTTGCAACTTCCAGGAAATTCTACCTTTTTTTATTACGAACTTAGAGAAGAAAGTAAAGAATACCTTGAATTGAAGACTGCATTTAGGAAGTCTTCTTGGTAATTTTAATTGGATTGCCACTGCCTTTTTCCAGAATGTTCTTTCAACTTCTCAATTAACCAGAGGTCTGGGCACTTCAGGTCTGGGCACTTCAGGGAAGTGCAATCTCTACAAACCAGAGCAGGCCCTTATGAGATTCTTTTATATTAGTCATTGTCAGTTCTTGTGATTATAAAGTTCCCTGCTACTGAATTGCTTGTTTCCTGCAAGAATAAGCTCTGGTGCCCATAACTTGCCTTTTTTTTTTTTTAAAGAAATCCTGGCAGATTTGTTAGCACCAATTGTATCTCTGTTATTAGGATGGAAGAGAGAGTGTTATGACAGCTGGATATCTCTCAGCATATTTGCAAATACCTATTACAGTATAAGGATGTGATTGCATTTGCTAATACATCTCACCTGGCCCATGCTTTTACTGTTCATTTTCTTTAGACTGACAAGAAGGACCCCCAAGGGAACAGCACAGTCTCGGGATTTGAAATTCTTTTGCAGAAACAACTGAAAGGAAAGCAAATGCAGAAGGAAATGGCAGAGTTTATTCGAGAAAGGTAACTTAGAAACTCAGTAATGAGCTAAACTGACTCCGTTGGGATTTGAGTTTATGTTTCCGGTGGTGAAACTCCTGATTCTATCAATTTACAAGTCTATTGGAATATTTTCTGTTAAACACAACTAATACTCAGAGATCTGACAGCAAATGCAAAGATGGACTTGTTATCTTTTTTATTCTAATAGTTTCGTGTATATATTTATTGATGAAATGTACACAGGGAGTTCTTGACTTACATCCATTCATTCAGCAACATTCAAATTACAACAGGGGGCTTACAATTATCACAGCATCGTGAGGTCATGGCATTACCATATGCATTCTTCCCTATTGTCTTCCCATAAGTAAAGTCAATTTAAAAAACTGGCAGAAGTTACAGGTGGCTCCTGCTGGTTTTTTTCCCTGAGGAGTCCCTCAGGGGGAATCTTGTACTCCATACCGCCCACATGGACTTGCGCCTGCCTGCACTCTGTAGTGCCCACACCCACTTCTGCCCACCTATAGCATCCATTTACACACTTTCCTACACCTGCTTGCACCTGTGGATCCCACTTGTGCCTGCCTGTAGCATCTGTCTGCCCAGCTGCCTTTACTTGGTCCTGCCCACCCACACTTCATGGCTTCCACCCATTCGTAGCTCTCACCCATGGGCCTGCTTGCAAACCACCTAAGAAGGAAAGACTTGCTAAGTGTTCTTTACTTATCAACAGCAACAGAGGTTTGTCAAGCAGTTTGGTCACATTGTGCTTTATGACCATATAAGTTAGTGGCACAAATTCCAGTCCCAATTACCGTTGTAGTCCTAGAACCTGGAGTAGGCAACCTTGGCTCTTTTATGACTCGTGGACTTCAATTCCCAGAATTCCTGAGCCAGGCTGGCTCAGGAATTCTGGGAATTGAAGTCCACGAGTCATAAAAGAGCCAAGGTTGCCTACCCCTACCCTAGGACTACCTGCCTCAATCCAAACAGACTCTATGTGGTTTACAACATATATATAATAAAACATAGTAGTATAAAATAATAACTGTTATAAAATAGAATCAATGTCCTTATAATAAAAAATAATACAGGGTTCAGAATCAGTCCTGAAAAGCCCTCTAGAAAAGCCAGAAAAACTGTACGAGTTAGGATGACCCAGAGTTGCCTTGAGGGTTTCATAGGAGTGAAGCTGTCATAGAGAATGTCCACCTGCAGGGCCCCTCCTGTCATGTTTCCTAGAGCCCTGAGCAGATATTCTGTGATTGGCAGGATCAGATGGGCAGTCTCTGAAATACCTAGACTTTAAGTCGTTAATGGATTTAAAGATAGCAACCAGTACTGTAAATTGTACTCGGAAGCCAATCCATCTCCAACAGCAATGGAGTTAAGATAACAGTATCACGATGGACTAGTGAGATGTGAATTGCTGCATACTGGACCAGCTGAAATTTCAGGGTGGTCTTTAAAAGCAGCTACATCTTCAACAAATTATAGCCGTCATGTGTAGAAATATCTACACATGTATATACAGAAAGATATCTACAGTGAGAAAACAAACAAAACATTTTTTCTATGTAGCAAAATATCAACAGTCAAAACTTTATATCAACAGAAATATGCCAATTTTTATAAACAGGGACTCTTAAGAAAGATGTAGTCTCTTCAATTAATCATACCAGTCCCTATCCCCATATTGTTTTGAGGGGCCTTATTCTGATTTTCAGAGAGTGCAACAATTGCAGTGGAATTGGTAGGAATTTCAATTCCAATTGCAGTAGAATTGGTAGGAATTTCAGTTTCAGGAGCTCTTTTTCATAATGTCATTGCTCCAGACTGGATGGATTAAAATCTATGTTACCTCAAGTGGTTCTTTAATACGAAAACAGTTCTTATAATTACTAAGGACCCATTTAAATATTTGCTACAGAAAGAGAGGGGTACAATTTGCTTGAGTTCATTCTGAGTCCAGATGAGTCATGCTTCTTGCTGATTTTGACATATCTCAGAAATCTCCCCCCCCACACACACACACACACTCAAATGCTCCCATTAGCTCTGGTAGTTTAAATAACTTAAAACGTCTGTGTGACATGGAAGGATAAACCAAGAGAGAAAGATAAACAGTTATTATTTATAGCTGCTCATTATTTATATTTTTTCTTTTAAAAAGAGCATTCTTCTAAATCGTTTTCCACATAATAATAGGAGGGAGAGCAACTTGCAAGTGGTGATTGGAACATTCTGTTCCATGAATGGACTTGTCTCCCTGATCAGAGAAAAAAAAATAGAAGGGCTGCTTTAGTTCATTTCCTACAATTATGCTTTGGTGAATTAATAGTGAAATGCTCTCATGATTTAATGGAAGCTATTAAGTATAAAAACTGTTTAGCATCCCTTTGACAAAATGTGGGCATCAACAATTTTTCCACTCTTCAGAGCACAGGAAATGTTATTTAACTTGAAATCTGGGTGTACTTGCTGAACCTTGTAAATCTAAGTTTGCTTTGCTGTTTGTTCCTTCCTTGTGCATGCAAGAACCTTTTTGACAGAGTGGAAATTTTGGAAAGGGTAAATACAAATCTTGTGCATAATTTAAGAGTCATTCTATTCCTCTCTCTTTCTCAGATGACACTGCTTTATTAACTGTGGAACAATTGCCACTAACAAAGGAATATGGGATAGCAATAGCACTTATATAGAGTTGTGATTATAATCCACGTGTGTAGTGAAATTATTAAATTATCATTAATTCTCTTGGCAAATATTGTGGGTAAAACTATAAATATATAAAAATATAGATTCCCAAGAGGTGACTAGCTAAATGTACTGTATTTTATTATAATTGCAAGTTACATTTCTAATACATAATAGCTTTGGGCTGATGTCACTGGTGTTTTTTTTTTCCAGAATAAAAATTGAAGAAGAATATGCCAAGAATCTATCTAAACTATCACAGAACTCGCTGGCTGCCCAGGAAGAAGGGTAAATACACATTTTTTAATTCTAATTGCCTGTCTGCTCTATATTACAGTATGTTGATATTTTTTTAAAATAAAAGTTAGTTTTAAACCTAGTACTGCAAAATTCATTTATTAATACTGAGGGTTGGGTGATATTTTTCTAAAGATATTCAAGATTATATCTTCTTTTTGAATTCAAATAGGAGCATATATTTAGAGAGAGAATTACTGAGAATAATGTTAAACATTGTGCTTTGGCTAATAGCTAATCCTATTAGCAGTGGTAATGATGAGTTTCAGATCCTAATGAAAAAGTGCATTTCTTACTAACCAGGCTCATGCATTGCAGGACACTTGGCGAATCCTGGTCTCAACTAAAAAAAAGCATGGCTGATGAAGCAGAGGTTCATCTTAAATTTTCCTCTAAGGTATCAGATCATTTCCTCTAAGGTATCAAATGTAAGGTATCAAATCGTGTTTTTATGGGCCTGAGATTGCCTGCTTTATGCCAGAGTGTGGATATAGGACCACTTGTTCGAGGATCCTTCTAACTGTGGGCATGATCTTTATCTAGGGCAGGGAACCTTCCTTCTGCTAGGGATTACATTCTCTTTGAAACAAGCAGTGGGATGGAAACATCCATTTCTCTAGCAACCCATCTTTTTTTCTTCTTCCTGAGCCTCTTTTGTTTGCTCCCAAGCAAGAAGAAGGGACAGATAGTTATTGCTAAAGGTCTTATTTTGAACTTTTGCATATGGGAGTTTGAAATTAAGCCAAGAGCTATGTAAAATTAGCACATGTGTTCCTATAGCAGTGGTTCTCAACCTGTGGGTCGGGACCCCATTTGGGGTCGAACGACCATTCCACGGGGGTCGCCAAACAAGGCTGTCCGCCATTTTTTCCCCTTTTTTTGGGCCACGCCCCTGGAACCCGGTGATGTATAAGTGGTTGGGGGTCACCACAACATGGGGAACTGTATTATGGGGTCACGGCATTAGAAAAGTTGAGAACCACTGTCCTATAGCTTCACATTGTTCATTCCTGATCCAGACAAAATTTCATTCCCAAAAGTTATTGGTTGCAATAGAAAAAATTGAAGAATGTGCTAATGTTTATCAGTGATTGGACAATATCATTTATTCAGGTTTTTCCCCCCAAAGCTAATATCCTAGTGCTCATAAAGATATTAATAGTAGTAGAGGTAGTAGTAGTAGTCGTAGTAGCAATAGTAGTAGTAAGAACTGGCTACTTATTAGGTAAGTGACTTCTCCTGCTTTCATCATTGCATACAAGATTGCACTCTCAGTATTTTATAATTTGATGATATTTGGACAAAGACCTAATAAATAGCCATGTATTGATTCAGTTTGGATTGTAGCTCATTTACAGTTAAGAAAATAACTGATTCCTCTCTGAAATGCTGAAATTTTAGAATAGGCTATCCTAAGTGGCAAGAATCAAATGAACTGTATCCTAAGATCTCATGTTTGGTTTCAGAATTTGCAATCCTTCCCCCATCCCTTCAACATAGAGGCAGAAAATTTATATCTATATCTCATTATAGAAGTGACAACTGCCTTGAAATCTTTAGGATTTTCTTCTTCCTCTCTTTTGTTTTGAAGTGTTTGCTTCACACAGATATCTGAGGATCAAAACAGATATGAAATCCATGATTCTATCACTTAGCTTTTTTCTACTTTTCAGCACTTTCCAGTTCTTCCTCCCATGCAAAAGGGATGGTGTTTTCTTCAGGTTAACTTCAAGTCCTGATAATTTCAGGCACCTGTCCATGTAGTTTCTTGACAGGAGGATAGAAATAGCTTGGCCTTTTTAAAAAAAACTCTCTTGTTTAGTTCATATTACTGGTACTTCCTGGATTTTAACTACAAACCAATCTTACTCATTTTTATTAGTTTTTAGCCAAGATTGATTATTGCTATCCCACAATGGGTAGAAACTAAATAGTTCTAATATTCAAAAAGGAAGAAAGAATTCCTCCCATTTCTCCTAGTCTAAATCAAAGTATTTCTCCCCATTGCCCCCCTCCCCCCAGTTCCTAGCATCTACAACTTCTTAACCATTTTTTCTTTTTTCTCATTTATGCCAGCTTCAGACAGAAGTGGAGAAACCGCTACTCAATTTCCGTGAAAACTTCAAGAAAGATATGAAAAAGTATGACCATCATATTGCTGATTTGCGAAAACAGCTGGTTAGTAGGTATGCAGCAGTGGAAAAGGTAAGAATTTCTCATATATAAGGCAAATTGGTGTGCATGCTCAAAAACTTGCCATACAAATCCTTGTGGATGGGTGGGTGGGTCGGTGAGTGGGTGGGTAAGTAGGTAGGTAGGTAGGTAGGTAGGTAGGTAGATAGATAGATAGATAGATAGATAGATAGATAGATAGATAGATAGATAGATAGATATTTGAAAAAAAATAGTGTGTATGTAAGAAAAATATGATTCTTCAAGTTGTAAGCCATCACTCCAAGTGGTCTGATTGGCCATATTAGTGGAGTGCCAGTCACCCTGGGAAGAAAAGAAAGTGCCAGCATAGAGACAGGAGGGCAAGATTATTTATGCCACGCTGTCTAATCTATATTCTATGTCCTAACTTCCAGCAGAAGATGCTGTCCTATAAACAATACTGAATATGTTTAATTATTAGTTTAGTTTAGACAACTTTGATAAGTAAAATGAGTGGCTCAATAATTTTATCCTTTGCTTCTGCTGGCAGAAGGTCCTGAAAAGAACCAGATTGTGGAAATATAATGTAACCTTTGCAGCAAATTTTAAACTGACTAAATAAAATAGGATTCCAAAGAATAGCAATAGCATTTAGATTTAAATATCATCCACAGTGCTTTACAGCACATTCTGGGTGGCTTGCAATGTCAGCATTATTTGCATATTGCCCCTAACAATCTGGGTCCTCATTTTACTGACCCACAGAAGGATGGAAGGCTGAGTCAATCTTGAGCTCCATCAAGACCGAACTCTAGGATGTGGGAAGAGTTTGTTTGCAATACTGCCACCAGGGCTCCTCAATAGTGTTGCCCAGATACTCCCTATTTGTACACCTTTTGTGTACTGGTGGTACTTTGGTTCCTAATAGTTTGGTGCTCAAGGTCTCATCCAAGAGATAGCGCACATGTTCATTTTCTTGATGTTCTAGCGCACACTCTATTCTTGCAGTGATTTAGTCTGTAAAAGAATAAATCTTATGGAAAGGAAAAGACAGATAGATATTTCTTTCCGTGGAGAAATTTATGACTCTTGGTTTGTTTCAAGGCTCGAAAAGCATTAACAGAGAGGCAAAAGGATTTAGAGATGAAAACACAGCAGTTGGAGATAAAACTGAGCAACAAGACAGAAGAGGAAATTAAAAAGGCCAGGCGGAAGTCTACTCAAGCTGGTGAGTATATGTAGAATGAGGACACTATGTGGTAAAGAGACACAGAAACAAGGAAATTTGAATGTCAAAGGGAAATGGGGTATAAAAAGCCTTCTACTGATTCAGGTAGGAAGAAGAGCATGGTTCGTTAAATTTTGGCATTGATCAAAACTGCATTCTTTAATTTGTTATCTATATTTTGTGTGATAAACTGTATTTGCAATACCAGTTTGGACCTTCTGGCCTTGTTGATCCTGTTTCCAGGATTTAGTTCCTTTGTAGTAAAGACCATTATCACTATCCCATACTTTCACTCTTAAGATACATGTAAGGAAATTAAGGAAAAGTAGCCAGTATTAGAAGACATGAGTCCAGCACAATCTTTAGTTGGGTTGGACCATCCCTTATACCTCCAGCCAGCAAGGCCTCCTTTGTCCTATCAAATGGATTTCAGAGTCTCCAAACCCAATATACTTGGAGAGCACCAGCTGCAGAAGGCAAACTCTATGTATGTCATTGTTGTTGTTGATGTTGTTGCGAAGTTGTGTCCGACCCATCACAATCCCATGGACAACATTCCTCCAGGCCTTCCTGTCCTCTACCATCTTCTGGAGTCCATTTAAGTTCACGCCTACTGTTTCAGTGACTCCATCCAGCCACCTCATTCTCTGTCGTCCCCTTCTTCTATTGCCCTCAATCTTTCCCAGCATTAGGCTCTTCTCCAGTGAGTCCTTCCTTCTCATTAGGTGGCCAAAGTATTTGAGTTTCAATTTCAGGATCTGGCCTTCTAAAGAGCAGTCAGGGTTGAATGTATGTCATTACTCTACCAATATTCTTAAATTAATTGAATTGTGAACATTTTGGTACTTCTAGAGATAAATCTATTTAAAGTTCTTCCCTTTTTCATGTATTTATTTGAATTGTGTGACAAACAGAATTGGAGCTAGCCTTTACATTTTTCAGTTTAAAATTTCTTGTATTTTCTTTTATAAATTTTTTACTGTTTGCATCATACAGTAGATGGCAGGAGAGAGAGTCAAATTATCACCTAAGTCAACTTTGCTATAAAACATGTATATAGGTCCTGCTGTTCTATTTCAATGCAGAATTTGTGACTCATTGAATTACTGGGTTAGAAAGAAACAAGCATACAGAAGCCACTGAGAAGTGTGTTTCTTTCAGTCAGCAAAATTGCCAGTAGGCAAACCTGTGTGACGATTCACCTACTCTTGGTTAAATTATCCCTCCATTTGGTTTTCTGACGTGTGTCTCTGTTTACAGCTGCATGCAGAGTTTATTTACTGCTGGTCAAATTGCATGTTTCATTGAATCCTAAAGTGAAAAGAAGTTGACACAGGTGCTACATCCAAATTTAAACAAAATATCTTTCTGCAAATCTGAACACATCCTTACTATTTATGTGCAATTCTGCAAGATAGAGTGGGAAGAAATTTCAAAAGACTCTTAGTTGGCTACAAGAAAAGTTTGGAAGTTGCTGTTTCCGCTCAAGAAGGTGTTATAAAATACTGACTAGCTGTTTCATTATTTCAAATTGGTTAAACCACTGCACACAAATAGGGAGTATGCAATCAAATTGCAGAAGGATTTTATATTTAATTTCCAGGTGGAAGCTGTATCACCTCTGTTCACCTAAGCATTCTTTGATGTGTATAATTTGATCACTAGTATCTAAACTTTAGAGTGCAATTTATAAATTGGAATTTCCAAAGGAAGGAAACAATATTTTTTCATTTGTAGTCAAATATATTTTTTCATTATACTTTGGTCAGGGAAACCTATGGAGATTTCCCTAAAGTGGGGGAAAGAGTAGGCAATAATAGAACTGAAGTTTGTTTCTTCATCTTCTCTTAAACATTCTTAATATAAAGTTAATGAGACATGCCAACCAACCAGCTTTGCAGTATGTTTCTTAATGACTTTCTCACTTCTACTGAGGATGAAGAGATTGGTTTTTGCTTTTTTCTTAATTAATTTGAATTAGCTACTAGGGTTGTGTAATGCGGCGCTTCACACTGAAAGGCAGAAATGTGTTTTGATACGCATGAAGGTAATTATGTAATACCTGTCTTGTCACTTAGAATTTAATTTAAAGCAGCAGCTTCTTTCACTGAAATTGCGCAGTTGCCCCACATAGCTGCAATACAGTCCCAGGAAAGATTAAAAAGTAAAATCATAATTGCACTGATATTAATAGTAAGTAAACCCACCCTTTGGGTAGGTGAATGAATTACAAGAAGAACTCACGTGATGGCTTGGGGAATTTGTTTTCTAGGAGATGATCTCATGCGCTGTGTGGATTTGTATAACCAAGCTCAGTCAAAATGGTTTGAAGAAATGGTAACCACCTCTCTGGTAAGCTAAATTTTAGCTTCATCCTTCATATTTCAGAAATAAGGTGGGTTTTTTTTCCACCTTTAGTGGAATTACATATATTAGCCCATTTTTGTATATAACGCGTGTTTCCAATTCTGAAATCCCTGTTCTTGATTTTTTGCTCAAACATGGTTGTGTATTCTGTTCTTAGACTAAAATTATCTTTAAAAATAATAATAATATTGGGGGTACCTTTGAAACCAGTAATTCCATATGACTTTACATGACATGTTAGGAAATCCCCACAGTCTGTATCTTTACCCTTCACATTCCCTAGCCTTCTGTCTGCATCATAAGCTTTTGATGGTTGGGGCAAGAAACTGCTCCATGTCATGTCACTCTGTAGGTCCCCCACTTGAAGGAATGACTCTTCCTATATGATCTCTCCAAGCTTTAAGAGATCACTTGAAGAGGTTTGTCTACAGTTGCTGTGAACTTGTCTGGTGATGAATCAAGATTAGGCCCTTTTGGTTGTTAACTCAGCTGTTTGGAATGCATGGCCTGCAATGTTGAGGAGCCTAGCATCTTTATCAACTTTTAAAAAATGCCTTTAATATATGTGTGTGTGTGTGTGTGTGTGTGTGTGTGTGTGTATTGTTGTACGGTGATAATGAACATTTTCTACTAACTTGTTTTAATTGCCACTTTAACTGTTTTTAATGACTTGATTTTAAAATTGTTTTATATTATAAAATGCTGAGACATCTTGATAGCCCGTGGGATACCATGTTAAATAAATACATGGTAAAATAGATCAGAGCCAGTTTGATGTAGCGGTTAAGCTACCAAGCTAGAAATTTGGAATTCTAGTCCCATCTGAGGCATAAATCCAGTTGGGTGACCTTGGGCCAATCACTCTAAGTCCTAGGAATCAGACTGTGACAAACTACTTCCCCCCCCCCAAAAAAAAACCTTGCCAAGAAAACTGCAGAGACTAGTCTAGACAGTCACAGGAAATCAAAAAGCTGACCTGAAAATGTAAACATAAAACACACACAAAAATCAAGTTGTATTTTTTTCACATTATTGAATTATTTAGGACATGTACTCCTATCTTCAATTTTACAATCTTTGAGAAAATATTTGTCCACTCATATCAGAACTATGGATTATATTTGAAGTGTGGGTGAAAGGAAAAAGGAGGAAAAAGGAAAGAAGGAAAGGAAAGGAAAATGTTTCAAGGAAAATAGGATAGTGTAACACAGTGAGAGATTTTGATTTGTTTTGCTTGTATTGCTGGAGGTTAGAGTTCAGTAAAATAAATATTTTAAAGGAGTAAACCTATCAAAGAATTTGATGTTCTATTTCTGATTTTATTTTAGTTTTTAATGAACAATCACACCTAGCTTGGCTTGCCATCAAATTTTGATAGCATGATTTTGGGGATTCTCAAGGGCCACAAAAATTGTCCAGTATCTGTGAATTGCCCACCTTAGGCTTACGGAGCAATTACAAAGTACCAAAACAGACTAAAATGAATAAACATTTGCTTTATATTTGATTCACAGTGGGTGGGGCTTTATTCCTGATCTGTTAATGAACATATTTCATTCTTTTATTTCAGGAACTTGAGAGGCTAGAAGTAGAGAGAGTGGAAATGATTCGGCAGCACCTTTGCCAATATACACAGTTACGACATGAGACAGACATGTTCAACCAAAGTGTGAGTCTACTTATCTTGGAATCCTTTCTCATACTGTGCTTCCGCAAGCTTTATAGAAATCTGAAAACTTATGTAGAATCTTCTACATCTGCTAAGGTATATGACTGCATAAAAACAGATAACTCAGCTCTCCTAATAAATACTGTTTACTTTGAGTCAGGATCAGTCACTTGGAACCCTTGAAATGAGATTCTTGACAGTGTAGGGTCAGGATTCAAGACCCACATTAGAAGTCGGCAATTATAATCCCTAATTCTGTAAAGTTAAACATGAAAGAGTAGACCTGCATATTGAAGAAGAAAAATAAATAAACTAATGTGTACTGTACTCTACCAGGCATTCATTTGTAGATGTTGGGAAACAACGATGTGGCTCTTGTGTTTTTCAGACAGTGGAACCTGTGGATCAGTTGCTTCAGAAAGTGGATCCAGCCAAAGACAGAGAACTGTGGGTAAAAGAACACAAAACCGGTAACATCAGACCTGTGGATATGGAGATATAGACTTCTGTGACCAGGTGGGCTTTTGAGTCCACCCAGTTCGAGGGAATTCCATAAAGCTTCAAGAGGAGGAACAGGAGAGATGTTCCACTGTCAGCTTCCGTATCTATTTATTATTGTCTGTAGGGACTATTTCTGTCATGTTTGATCATTATTCCATTCCTGTAGTGCTATGCCTTAAACATCCAACATTCCAGGGTTGAGAAGCTACTCTTTTTCCTTCTTTTTGAAACTGGCTCCTAGCAGCCAAGCACGTGCAGCTCCTATTATCAATGGCTGGGTCTGTTTGCTGGTACAAAAAGAATCTTGCTATTCTGTGGTTATCTATTTTGTGCTACTCCCCTTGCATGATGCTCTGTTTTGTAATGTAACGTTAAGACACAAATAAGGCTGTGCCAAACATATGGACGGATAAGTTTGAATGTGATTCTGGAAGCAGGGATATCCTCTGAATGTTCCCACTGAATTAGGTGGGGAGTGGGGAGGTGGTTTTACATCCCCACCTCTTCTCCCATCTACACTTTATGAAATGGACTTTATAATGCTTACCTACTTCACAGGGATGTTGTGAGGATAATATCTGTAGAGTATTATGTTTTAACAACCATTGTCTCCTACAACTGCAAATGCTATTGCAAGGCTACAGTGAAAAGGCTTTTTCTGAGTAAAGAAAATGAGGCCATGGGTCAAGAGACAATGTACCCAAAGAAATCCGCTTGGGTTGGCCCTCTTTTATACTGTCTCTCAGGTACTTACTAGCTGCAGTCCTCAAGCTGCTTGTGATCTTTTGACTTCTCTGGGATCTGCAGAAACGATCAGAGAATTGGAACCATTGACCCCCCAATAGAAAAAGAGCACTTTCAAGACCCAGTTGCCTCTTATCATGGGTGCTCCAAGAGCCTTTGGAAGAGTGTAAGAAACCAAATTCAAAGTGTATCTCAATCTGCAAAGTAACCTTCATGAGGGTTAGATTACTTAGAGGCTAAGATCTTGCCCCTTTCAATATGTCTTCCCTGATTTTCAATTTTGTGCTCAAGTCTCAGAGATCTCAGCAAAATTCAAGTGGGAACTTGGGTTTAGGGAAAGATACTTCTGGCAGCTATTTTAAAAAAAAGTGTTTTATTTTATAATGGAGTTTAGGCCATATTAAGTCTCATTATAAAACTATCAGATGGTCAAAAATCAGCACAAGTGAGTTAAGAAGTGACTATTAATCCAGCCAAAGATGCATTATACAGCTAGATATTTTCAGAAGTGCAGCTATTTATGATGGTACTACAAAGCCTTACCAATTGATCCTGAGCTCCTGTATTTCAGAAACTGTTGGGGAAAAACCACCATGTTCTTTGTTCCCCTCCTGTTTTCATTTGTCTTGCAATGGTGTTTGTATAGCACAAATATTTGCTTCAAGTATCAGAACTTTCACTTTTTTTTTTGTACTGCCAAGTATTTTGTTTGAACATGTGTCACAAACATCTTCTCTTCATTTCTTAAATCTTTTTTTTTCCTGGAATGCATTTGTCAGTTTTTTGACCAGACTTCCCATCAGCACTATAACTCTTGTCCTTTCTGCTTTCAAAGTAATGGTTTTAATTTAAACTACAGAGATGTAATATAGATAACCTGAGCCTCTTGATTTTTTTAAAAAAACAACATATAGCAGAAAGTTTGGGATAAGAGATGGCATTGTTTTCCTGGATTATTTGATGCTTATATTATTAAATACAGTATGGAGAAAACTGGCACACAAGCTATTCTAATTAATTACAGCTCCAATTTGCCCTCATTTGATTGATTATTTCTTCCCTTCCCTTCCCTTACTGTTCCTTCCTTTTCAGTTGGCTTTCTGTTATCAACAAAATCCTCTTTTTTCATTTCTAAGGGCATCACAGGTTTTTAATAAAAATATATATTTTGTCTTTTTCCCAAGAAGCTGACTGTCAAGATTTGCAAAAACTACATTTATCCTGCTGGTATGTGTGAGTACATTAAGGTCTGGATCAAAAACAATATAAAAAGAATTCAGTTCCTTTCCTGTTTTGAAGCTTGGGATATTTCAGTATTCCTTGCAATCTTTCTCTGACTGTTTTCAGAACTTCCTTCAGTTGTTGCCCATTGATTTCTGGGTTTTTTCTGTTTTCCATACTGGACATTGTTTAACTATATGTTCTTTTGATAAAATGGATTGCAAATTGTTTGTACATTCCACTCCAACTTTCTTCACCATCATAAAGCAAACTACTCATATTACAAAAAATGCTCTTTCCAAATTATATTTTAAGATTCCACTTCAATTAAATCTGACTGAATTTAAAATATCTATCTTATTTTTCTAGATAAAAAGTACTCAAAGCACCTTATTTGTAAATGTAAATCATTGCCTGGATCATTTGGTTTTCACGTGTCTGTTGCTTTCTACCAACTAATAATTGTCTCTTTTTTGTTTTGTTTTGTTTTTCTACATCTTTCACAATTATCTTACCCATTACTTTGCTTTTCTCTTTTCTTCTTTTACTTAAAGCTCCAGTGATCAGTGATGACAAAATATGATTTGATTGCAGAAAAATCCCCAAGATTTTACAGAAGCTTGTAAAATTATTTCAAACAGTACAAGGTATTTCCTTGACTGTCTTAATCTATGTTTTCTTTCAAGTTCTACGTTTCTTTTAAACATTATTATTTTATGTGAAGGATGAAAATACATATTGTTCACCAGACTCCTTTTTATGTTCCCCAGGGTTTGGGTGAAAAGATTGGAACCATTTCTATGTCTTTTGGGGACTTACGCTACTAAGGGCCAAAATCAGGGTTGTAAGCCTTGCAATTGCTTAAGATGCGAATTTCACCACTTAAAATTCCTGAGAACACCATGGTCTCAGTATGTTTTTTGAGTTCAGCCCTCAACGTGTCATGCAAAGCTCAGTTGCTCTCAGTCTCATGGATGTTGCACCCAGTGGTGGGATTCGGTTCTCTGTGTGGATGCCGCTTCCAGAAGTCTGTTCTGGGCCTGGGCAACAAAAAATTAGCTACCGGTTCTGCTGAACTAGTGCAAACTGGCTGAATCCCACCACTGGCCGCACCCCTCAGATAGCAGCCCCATGAAATCTATGACATTCGTGCAGGGATTCCTGTATGGCCATGATGAATATAACCAGAAGGTCATAAGTGAGAGAGCAGGGTCTACTTAAAACACCTCTAGTTTGGGATCCGTCACAGGTAGTCTTCCATTTATGTACACAACATTTCTGTTGCTAAGCGAGATATTTGTTAAGTTGAGTTTTGCTTCATTTTACGACCTTTCTTGCCACATGTGTTAAGTGAAACACTGCAGTTGTTAAGTTAGTAGCACGGTTGCTAAGTGAACCTGGCTTCCCCATTGACTTTGCTTGTCAGAAGGTCACAAAAGGTGATCATGTGACCTCAGGATATGGCCACCGTTATAAATATGAGCCAGTTGCCGAGCATCTGAATTTTGATCACACGGCCATAGGGATGCTGCAACTGTCGTTGAGGGTGAAAAACGGTCGTAGGTCACTTTTTTCAGTGCCATTATAACTTTGAACTGTCACTAAATGAACACCTGTAATTATTTGAGGGGAAGTGAGGACCAATCCCTTTGTTTTAGCTTGGTAGAAATCTTTTTCCCAACTTCTTCAGAAGCATTGACCTTTCAAATTTATTTGGCCCATCACACTCAAATCACTGGTGCTACCTTTAGTATTCTTTCTCCATTCCTTTTTTCTAGGACAAAACATAACTCACTTGAATATTCTCCTTGAAGTTTTCTTTCAACGTGGAAAGCAGTTGTGGGTGAAACCTGCATATTTTCTCTTAAGCTTTGCTCTTTGGAACATTCCACTGCTCGGTTGCTTTCTGATTTGTGTTTTGGACTGATGCTATGTCTACATCTAGACTTCCCTGGCTCCAAAACATAAAATGAGAAGGAATGCAGAGAAAGAAGAGGATTAGCATGTCAGACCTACGAGACTCTTTTTCTCTTTTTGAAGTTCACCACCTCACTGCCTTTTGAATAGGCCTGTTATTGAGGGGTTTTTTTTTCTCATAGAACGCCCAGAGCAGAGTTCTGGCACCTTTTTGGGATGGAACCTTGTAGGATAGGCAAGGCAGGTTGTATGAAGTGTGTGAGTTCCGGCACCTTTTTTTTTTTTTTTTTTTTTTAGAAAAAAAGCACTGCCTGTTATTATTACCCTTTTATATTGCAATGGATTTGCCATTGTTTTTTTTCTTTGCAACTCTTACTCACTGCATTCCTGTTACATGACATTTTGGTATGACTTACAATTGTGGGATGATTTGCAAGTGTACTTTGTGCCTTTTGCTTCACGGACTGTTTATATCAGTTCATATTTAGCTTGGATGTTCATCAGATTAGCCAGACATTTACAACCTGATTTTGTTTAATGTGGTTTCTAGCCACTTAATCTCTCTTAATTACATGGCTCCCATTCCTTAAGCAGTCCCAATGCTCAAGATTTCATTTATTCTCCTTTCAGGATTCTCATGGAAGATGGTCATGTTTTGTGAAATTTTCTTTCTAACCAATATCTTGAAAAAAGGTGTTTTAGATAGAAAAATATTAAGAGAGAATTGCATTTTTTGCAAAGGAAGCACTTGGATGACTGAAATAGAATTGTGATATTTGGGATATTTTTAGTTCCATGTCAGCTTAGAGATGAATGCAAGCATAGATCAGTGGTGTAATGTAATATGAAGGGCTCCTTCATATTGTGGATATGCCATTCTATTCCCCCTCTCATCATGATTACCTGTTCACTGAGCATAGTCTATTCTCATTAAGCTATTTGCAGGGTTCCTTCCCCAATGTTTGCTATAAATATCTTTTCACTTTTACAAACTTTGAGGCTCCTGTGAATTTCTTATTACTTAATCAGAATAGAGATGGAAGGGACCTTGGAGGTCTTCTAGTCCAACCCCCATCTACCATTTCAGATAGATGGCTGTCCAGTATTTTCTTAAAAACTTCCAGCGATGGAGCACCCACAATTTCTGAAGCTGAAGCTGTTCCACTGGTTAATTGTCCTCACTGTTAGGAAGTTTCTCCTTAATTCCAGGTTGCTTCTCTCCTTGATGAGTTTCCATCCATACCCAAGTCCTTCATATTTTTTGTCTCCAGGCTCTTAGTTGTTCTTCTTTGCACTTTTTCCCCCAAGGTCTCAACATCTTTATTTGTAATATGTAATATTTTGTAATATTTTTTGTGAAAATAGATGGTGGAATTTTATTTAAAGATTGGCATTCAGAGAATTGAGAAATCTCATATATGACAGTGTTCTTTTACAGGTTTTGTAGTATCCAAATAGAAAGTGGTATTTTGGGTTCCATTTGGATTTTCATCCCGTATTATCTGCCCACAATGAGTAGCTGATCCCTATTGTTTTATTTTGCTGGCTAGTTAGTATCTAGCTCAGGGGTCTTCAAACTTGCCCCTTTTATGACTTGTGGAATTGTGGACACGCATGAGTTGAAGTCCACAAGTCATAAAAGGGCCAGGTTTGAAGACCTCTGATCTAGCTCGTTCACAATGCTTGTCAGTGTGATTTGTCACAGATCAGATCTGGAGCACATAGTTGGTTTGGTTCTTCTATAGGAAATCTACTGACCACAGCAAGTCCTCTGTTATGTAATCTCAGTTCTCTTCTCTTGTGATCTTCATAATACAACAATATACCTCCGCTTTTCTTACGTTAATATTATGTCTCTGTTGTGAATGGGTCTGAGGACACTTAACACTGAATTTCCAATCCTGAATTCAGTGAGGAAAGGTCAAAAGTATGTGTGGGTTTTTCTATTTATATGTTTCTTTAAATTATTACTGTTTTAGTACAAGTATAAGCCTAAGCAAAGGAGAGTTACTCTTCAGAATTATATTCTCCTGTATTGGAATTGAATTCATCTTTAAGAGAGCAATCTTTATGGTTCATAAGAAAGGGAAAAGTAACAACGTTGTTGTTAAATTAATGACACAACGTGTTAAAATTCCTGCTGTGGAGGCACTCAAAATCATTTCTTAATGCTTTTAAGGCATTGTCCTCCCAGGCTGATAAAAGTATGAAAAATTTCAAATTCTACATAACACTTTCCCCCCTCATCCATTGCAACAGGGATGAAGCCGGAATTAAGATTCTTCAATCTTATCTGGGTATATTTTTCTTCTGTCAGGTTTTACTGCATGCACCAAACATTTCTTCTCTGCTTAACTCAGGTCTAGGGAGAAATGGGAAGGTAAAGCTGACTACTGCTTGCCATCAAAAAAAATGCAGGTTTCTTTTAGCTTTTGATGGGTTGTTAGTCAACTCCCATCACAGTTGCTTTCTGCTGGCAAAGGTAAGTCTCCATTCCATTACTAACCTAGGGTTGGATGTGAAAGTGGCACATAAAAATAGTGTTAAGTTCCCATCTTTCAAGAATAATTGGAAGTCAAGACCAATGTCTAAGCTGAATTTTTAAAAACAATCATTCTGTAGATCAGGGGTCCCCAACCCCCGGTCTGTGGACCGGTATCGGGCCGCAGCATGCCAGCAGCCGGTCTGCACAAACAAGCAAAACCCCATCTGCAGGATGCAGGCAGCACACAAAACCACACCCCTTCCAGTCCACAGAAAAACCTC